GTTGGGTGATCTATACAGGACACCTATAAGGAGGCTATCCCTGCTTTTTAAAGAAAGCTCACACCACACTGATTCTCTAGCTGATTGGTGCTCTGCTGATAACTTAACTTGTTGGGCCCCATAAAAGGTTCTAACCCATAGACCTACACCTCTACTACACTGTCATTTAAATTATGAAAGCAATCAAAACCTGGCAACTGAAATAAATACAGTATAAAGTATAGTATAAACAGTATAAAGGAAGTTCAAAAATATTACATTTACCAGCTTTGAAAAATTCTTCAAAAAATGGTGAAAAACAATATTTTGAAAAGTTACTTCTGCCTTCTGCTAAGGTTTGTAGTAAAAAAATAATTTGCCTTATTCAAAAATTTTGCTTGGAAAAAAGTGGCAGACAAGTGTCAGCATGAAAACTTTATTTGTGGAATTTACATACCTCAATCCAAAAAAAATGGCGGCCATTTCCGCATGGCAATGGCGGGGCTACTTGGGACACCCCCGGGGCTATTAGGGACACCCCCAATTTCCAAAAACTTATTTACAGTAGAACCTCAGCAAAGGCTCCAGTTAAGAAAGAAAATTGATTAAAAACAAAGAATATTGATTACATTTACCTTGCTCACCAAAAAAATTCAACTTGGCAAAAAATTAGTGCATCATCGGTCATCACAAAATTGTGCATAGAATGTCATATATAGAATTGTGCACCAGGCACCATAGAATGAAAAGTAATTGACCTAAACTATGATTTATTTCTCCAAAACATGTGATGGTTGTCACTAAAACATTTCTTTCTGTTTCAGGTATGTTTTTCATGATTTTTTTTATAGTAAATTCACTTAACCCAATTGAAATGGTGTGAAATTACAAGCCGTCCTGTAACTGTAAGCTTACAGATACAGAAAAAATGCTATAAGGCTGCTGATATGAAGCTTGCTGTGGACAAGGTAGTTGAAATGATCAATGGCCTGTTCATGGATACGGTATTTATCTTATCGGTAATATTGCATCAATAATACGGTAATTAATGTATATGGTAATATCATATCAATAAATGAAAAACAAGTAAAAATCACAGAAAATCTCATTTATTCTACCTCTCCATCATCTACAATAAAAGAGGAGGACTTCAGAGTACTGTTAGTAATGAATGAGTACACTCTGCATGCTTCAAATGTTTTAAAATTAAGTTTTATTCCAAGTGTCCCGAGTAGCCCTGTTCAACGGGGCTACTCGGGACACTCTTTTTTTGCTTCTGGCACCTTACAAATAGCATATGAAATTTTTTTGGAGAAGCCATGCGATAGCCCCTGCAAAGAGCTTTGAAATGAGCCTAAACTTGTTTATGGAATGTTTCATGGTAAGAACTTATGAATGAAAAACGTTCAAAATCGTCCCGAGTAGGTTGACGGTATCAAAATCAGCAAAATGTTACAAAATTCTCTAGATTGCAAAGAATAAATTAAATTTCAATGTCATTAATCAATTAATATACCTATATTAATTAAATAAAATAATAAATATTGATATTGATAAAATATTGATTTTCCTTCTAAATTGTGTTTGTGTTTATAGTCTGTAAAGGAAATGAAATTTCCAATTGGGGGCAGCCGCACCCACGACAGCCTCAGATGTATGCTGGACACTACACTAAGGAAATAATTATATATATATATATATATATATATAATATATATATATATATATATATAGCTCCTTGTGCAGCAGGGTGTACCCCAGTGCTGGAGCTTTGAGCCTCGTGTATGCTGGATTAATCCAGGGAAAACAACACCATCCTGAGTTTGGCGTGACTAGAGCTTTCCTGCCATTTTCAGAGCCGTGACAGTCCCTCCAGATGAATGATCTATCTAGTCGCTAAGCAAAGTGTGTGATCATGCCACAATATTTCAAATGCATAAAAAAATTGTCACATAGGATGCACAAGATTTCATTCATAAGTAGGAAAATTTCAATACAAGGCTGCTAGATTATTAGTAACATTCTGATTTAATTCCCATTTGCTTGATTCCCCAGCACCATGCAAATAATGCAATGTGTTACAATGGGAAAAACTGTTTATATTATTAATTAATTTCATGATGTGAGAGCCCTAAAAGCTAATGTAAATTAAGGGAACAGTGCTTGTTTCTTGGTGCTTTGCACATTTTGCCTTTAAAATATTGTACTTCCAGACTGTGGACAATGCACACTCTAAGGTAATTATTCTATTACAAAAGTTCCATCAATGTGAATGCTATAACTTCATTGATTATTATGATTATCTTATATTGTGATTATCAAACTAAAATTTGTTCTTCATTGTGTGTGTGTGTTCTCATCAATTTAGTTATACATGTGCTCAGTGGTAATAATGTAGTAAACAGTTTAAGGCAACTTCAATATACATGTTAAAATCCTATTATTTGTCATAAATTTTAATATAATTTCTTCCTGAATAGAGTTGTGGCCTATTTTGCTACCTTCTTTGTTGTAAGCATGTCATTTACTTCAAACAATCATCACCTATTTTTTAACAGAATCAACAATATTTTGTTAAGTAGCTGTTCAATTTGAAGGTTCAGTAAATGACATATTCGTTTACACATTTGTTTTATTTTTAAAAATAAAATTCTCCATTTCAGACCTGCCGAGGCAATGGCTCCACTCAACTGTAACCAGTCATCTGGAACTCCTCCTCATACACCCGACAAATCCATCAGCTGCAGCAATGCTGCTTCTTCTGAGCCTCCCAACTCTGTGACATGTTCTTCAGACAACTTAGCTTTAGATACTAAATCTAATACAGAAAATATTTCCTATCTCAAAGTGAGTAAAATGAATGGCATGCTATCAGAATCTTGTGAAGGGCAAGAAAGTAATGAAAGAAGTCCTGGTGATGGCTCTGATCTCCCTAATGGCCCAGTTGAGCACAGCTTAACATCATCAGCCAAGACTGAAGGTTTACCTGACTGGAAGTTGAGGGATTACCTGCTGGATACTCACTTACCAGACAGTAGGATGTACTTAAAGTTGCCTGGGATTAACAATGATCACGATCAGTCTTCCTCCCTGCCATCGAAAGATCTCGTACCAAGCTCCAACTTCACACACTCCTTTCTCAAATCAATTTTGTCATCAATTGACAGCAAGGATGCTGGTAAGTTTTTTGGAAAGTTTTTAAATTTATAAATTTGGAGTAAGAACTAAGTTAAAAGACATTATTCCTCCCTCGTGTCAATTTTGCCCTCCTGCCCATCTGCTAATTTGAAGGAGATTGTTTTCTGAGGTTTAAGTTAAGTATAATTTATTTTGGCTAATGTATGTATATTGAGCCACTTTTCATCATACTTTTTTGTCAAATGAGAAATATAGCCACTGCATTGCAACAATGTGATGGACAAAAGTGGCTATATCCCTTAATAAGAGTTCATTCATAAAAAATTTTCAAGACTTTCAGCTTTATTTGGTAATAAATATCAGTTGTCATTAGTAATATAAAATTTGCAAGTCAATACTAAGACTTATACTGCATTAGATTTGAGTGCTTGTTGTCTCATCCATCATAGTATAGATACCTATGTGAGCCGAGTGTCTCTTGGTAAGAAAATAGTTTGATCCAGTTTCAATAAAATTAGGGAACTACATACAGTACCTATCTCATTTCCTATCAAATTAAATGTATCATAATTTCCAAAGACATATATATTTATTTAGTACATTTCCTCAACTTCCCTTGAACTTCGCAGCATTGCCTCTGAGTTGTAGATTTTGCCTAACAATAAAAGTGACATTTTCACCAAACATTTTCTTCAATAGCTTAGGTACTTTCAAATTTTTGAGCAGAAGTTTGTGGAAATATGGCTCAAAATATTGCTACTTTTGTACAATATTTCATCAAAATAAGTAATCATCAAGTAGGAAGCAATGACACACTTGGCATGAAGTGATCCAAAAGCTTTTTGTGATGGATGACGTAACTTGGAAAAATAATCATATGCATAACTGGACATTTCCATCAGTTTTCTAGAATTTATTTCACTTTCGTGGTATTTTCAGTGGTGGCCAATGCTTGGTTGGAGACGTTGTTGGATGTGATGGATCTCCTTCCCTGCGATGTAATTAATGAGGAGGTAAGTTCAGTGTTTTGCGCTACCGTCAACTGGGGTGACTTCGGCCGCCGGGGTGACTTCGGCCGCCGGGGTGACTTCGGCCGCCGGGGTGACTTCGGCCGCGTTTTTGATTTTGTTTTGCAAACAAAAACGGGGTCGTAAACGCCGGGGTCATAAACGCCAGGGTCGTAAACGAGGTCATAAACGCCGAAGTGACTTTGGCCATCGTTTATGACCCCGTTTGTGTTTGCAAAACAAAATAAAAAACGCGGCCGAAGTCACCCAGTTGACGGTACCTCATTACATCGCAGTTCCAGTGTTTTGCAGTTCCATTTTCCAGTGTTTTGCCCTACATAAGTCCATCCTGGAACATCTGGGGCCATACTTTCAAAACTCGCTAAGTGAGCGTAAGTACTTACGCTCTATTTTCTTGTCTATGATTGGTGGATTTTGCTTGAAAGGCCGTCAATGATTGGCTGATGAACTTACGATCTCTTAACTTTTTTTGAAACTATAGGCCCAGGGCCTATACTTTCAAAACTCGCCAAGTGAACGTAAGTACTTACGCTCTATTTTCTTGTCTATGATTGGTGGATTTTGCTTGAAAGGCCGTCAATGATTGGCTGATGAACTTACGATCTCTTAACTTTTTTTGAAACTATAGGCCCTGGAACTTAGGAGTGACGAGTTAGTTGAAATTATTATAGCATGCAGACAGGGCTCTCCTTGCGGGAGAATTGCCCACCAATGCAATATTCTTAATTGATTATCTTACCGGGCATTCAAAAAAATATCGCAATCCAAAAGCTGATACTAGGCACTGGAATTGGGCATCGTAAAAGTTTTGAATAAAATTGACAACCGCCATCATTGTATGAATTTTTTTTGTTTATTAATGACATATTTCAACTTTCTTTTATATAGGATTCTTTGGCACTTCTAGAGCATTTAATTAGTCTTCAAAATCATTCAATAAGGTGTGTTATGGATGAAGCTTCTCTAGGAATTAAGAACGACAAATTAAATACACGAGGTTTAATGTGAAACACTCATACCCCTAATATTAAACTTAGTAAAATTGAGACGCATGCTAACGCGAACAAAATCACTGTTACAGAAATGAGACTTTGGAATAAATTCAGAACTTGACATCTAGTATCTCTTGGGAAAATCGCTCCTAATTCTTGATGGGAGAATTGAGCATCATTGAAGGGCTTGGAATGTCTCCAACCGCTGCTCGAACTTTCCTACTTAGCAGAAAAGTTTGGCATATAAAAGTTTGAAAAAGTTAAAAAAAACTTAGCGTAAATGGTCGATCACAAAAGTCCTTAGCCATAATGACAGTCACATTATTCCTAGTAGCCAGACTGCGGTCGAAGTTATCTTGTCGTACTATTCTTGTTTATTTAAAAAATAGTTTAAGTTCTGCATAGCCGTTGAATTTTTAACGGCCCTACTTCGGAATGGCTGTGATGGTTTCCACCTCAGTGACGTTGCTACAGCCCTTGGCCATGCTGCTGCCGATGTGTCCGACCGTATTCTTGATGTTACTCAAATAATTAGACTGTCGGCTTATTATTGCTGCTTGTCAGGATGAATCTCGTGTTGTCTTGCATTTGTATCATGGCCGTAGTGTTGATATTGGCCATAATCTGAGACTTTACTTGTAGAATGTTAGTGCTCTGCTGTCGGTGTCTTAGTTTTATCGATGAATCTGAGTGGTACTTGCAACCGTTAATGTTGGAGACGTGCGAAGATACCGGCCTCACGGTGGCAACCATCACTATAAATACGTCCACTGAGCTGCTGACCGTGACCGGTAGCTTCGAAGAACTAAAATCAATGAACAGTTTTGTTGAAGTGGCACACTTCTCACTTTAAACAAAATCAATGTTTAAGATGAATCACTGATTGATGCCCTCGATGTTACTCTTAGATTGTGCCTGTTGCTGTGAAGAAGAGCGAGTCACAGCACATCTCGGACCGCTTGGCCTCATGTAAAATAATTGGTCGTCTCTCATCAAAATTTGCTTCAAATCAGTAAGTTTTTGTTCGCGTCTTCTCTATCAGCCACATTTCTCGTATACTAACAGTAGAAATTAAACGTTTCTAGCTGCAGAATAATCGATTCAAGAAATTTTCTTGCACGATTTTAGACTTTGTAATAATGATATTATCAGTGAGTGCAGAGTGCAGATAATAATAAGGACAATATATCACAAAACAACCTTGAAATTTTTATCTGAAGCAAGTAACACTAGCACTCCTTTCCACTATCTGAACCACACTATCACTCTTTTAGTTTTTTTCTACCTAATAATTTTGTGTTGAGCTGACTGGTCAGGTAACCGTATTTTATGTAATGTAATAATATAATGATACATGAATAAATCTAACTTTGATTACTACCTTTCCAATTTAATCCTGACGATTAAACGTGTGTGTCAGGATTGCGTCAGGAGGTGTGTGAACGAAATGAAGAAATCTAATTTTGATTACTACCTTTCCAATTTAATTCTGGCGATCGAACGTGCGTGTTGTCAAGACTGCGTCAGGAGGTGTATTAAATGTGTTGTATTCTCAAGACTGCGTCAGGAGGTGTGTGAATGAGAAGAAATCTTGCTTTGATTACTACCTTTTCACTTTAATTCTGACAATTAAACATGCGTGTTGTCAAGACTGCGTCAGGAAGTGTGTGGGGCGGTGCTGACGCTGAGCCAGGACGTTGGGGAGGAGGTACGAGCCGCCGTGTGCGGGGTGTTCGCTGGCGTGGCTGCAGGTCTTACACAAGACTCCATCAGGGCTCATCTCATGCCCAGTCTCCTGAACCTCTGCTGTGATGATAAAGTTACCGTCAAGATTGCTGCTCTGCATGCAGTACTTGACATCGTTCCCCATGTTGATCATAGTGAGTTGATTATAAGTTGCCTCGTTGATCATAGTGAGTTGTTGTTTAAGATCTGCCTCGTCAAGGCAGGACTTTTTAAAAGTTACGGTCAAGATAGCTGCACTGCATGCAGTACTTGACATTGTCCCCCATGTTGATCATAGTAAGTTGATTATAAGTTGCCTCGTTGATCATAGTGAGTTGTTGTTTAAAATTTGCCTCGTCAAGGTTACAAGGTATCAATTATTAAAAGTTACCGTCAAGATTGCTGCACTGCATGCAGTACTTGACATTGTTCCCCATGTTGATCATAGTAAGTTGATTATAAGTTGCCTCGTTGATCATAGTGAGTTGTTGTTTAAAATCTGCCTCGTCAAGGCAGGACTTTTTAAAAGTACCGTCAAGATTGCTGCGCTACATGCAGTTCTTGACATTGTCCCCCATGTTGATCATAGTGAGTTGATTATAATTTGCCTCGTTGATCATAGTGAGTTGTTGATTATAATTTGCCTCGTCAAGGCATGACTTTTTAGAAGTCACGGTTAAGATTGCTGCACTGCATGCAGTTCTTGACATTGTCCCTCATGTTGATCATAGTGAGTTCGTTGTTTAAAATTTGCCTGACTTAGTATCTGACTTTCTGAGTGGGTACAGCATTAAAGAAAATGCTCTTAAAAAACACATACGATCTTCTGATATGCTTCTAATTCATGATATATTCTTGATTATTGCACGAGAACGTGCATATGTGACTAGTAAAGACTTATGATATATTCTTGATTATTGCACGAGAACGTGCATATGTGACAAGAAAGACTCATGATATATTCTTGACTATTGCACGAGAACGGTCATATGTGACTACTAAAGACTGGTCTTGTCTGCCCCCAGAGACTAGACAGGACTCGGTGATGCCGCTGCTGCAGAGTCTGTGTAAGCGCTGCCTCGGCTGCTGTGATGTGACGCTGCCTGTGCTGGCTTACCTGCTCGGCCCGCTCTGCCACGCCCTGCAGGGTGAGGATTTTTTGCCTTTAAAACTTTTACTGCCGTTAAAACGCTTCAGGGTGAGGATTTTTTGCCTTTAAAACTTTTACTGCCGTTAAAACGCTTCAGGGTGAGGATTTTTTGTGCCGTTGAAACTTTTGCTGCCGTTAAAACGCTGCTGGGTGAGGCTTTTTTCGCCGTTAAAATTACTTCGTTAAGGAGCTCTCTTGATCTGTTAATGTTGATAATATCCGTTTCCGTTATTGATTTCTAATTTTTGTGACTTCCTGCATTGTTCTTTATGTATCTTTCGTGTTCCACATTCAAATATTCGTATTCATTGAATCTCCTAATGTTTTTATGTTTAAGATAAAATCAACTGACATCCTACTTCCAAATTTTTGGGATAAATGTGTCATAAAACGGCTAGGCAGAAGTATCTTCTTGATCAAGTCCGTTATCATCATAAGATGCTTGGCTCCCAATCTTTTGTAAAAAGCCACTTTGCATTCAACAATTTTTTCATACAAGTTCTAATCATTATTCTCTAAATAAGTTTTGCCTTCAAGTTCCTATGACGTGAAAAAGTTTTGTTGTTTTGTTGACTAGTTTTTATGTTATGTGAGCTTATCTTTAGAAAATAACACAGATTTTTAGGATTGTAATGAATTTCCATCCTCTTTTTATGTTATGTGAGCTTATGTTTAGAAAATAACACAGATTTTCAGGATTGAAGTGAATTTCCATCTTGATATAAATCGTTATATTAACGTTATATTCCAGATGACCTAGAGAAGGAAGAGAAAGTATGGCTGCTGTCGCGGTATTGCCAACTGTGTTCCATCGGCCTGCCTGCTGACGAAGATCGTTCCGACAAAGTGGTGAGGCTTTCCTCTTAAATTTTATTTAAGCGCCCCAATTCTTAAACTCATTTATTTACTTGCTTGTTTCAATGAGATCGATCGAAGTGGGATCTGTGTGTAATATTTCTTTCTGTATTTTAATAAAAATATCCCTCGTCTATGTCTATGAAGTCATGACGTGTCAGTTTTGCAAATGAAAGCACTTAGTAGTATGGCCAGTTTTGGACTTTGGATGTAAGGTCAATAATTGATAAGAATTTCTAACTCCGTGCTTGACGGCTTCCCAAGCAAACCTCACCAGTCACAGCCGAGAAATTAGCCTCTACCCCAACAAAATTTAGAGTCGCCTCAGCTTCTGGAAACCCAAATCGGAAGCTGCCGCGTCTGTAAATTTTCACTGGGTACATGCACTTAAGTTCTAATATTACGGTCCTGGGCCTATACTTTCAAAAAAGTTAAGAGATCGTAAGTTCATCAGCCAATCATTGACGGCCTTTCAAGCCATACTTTCAAGAAAAGTTAAGAGATCGTAAGTTCATCAGCCAATCATTGACGGCCTTTCAAGCAAAATCCACCAATCATAGACAAGAAAATAGAGCGTAAGTACTTACGTTCACTTAGCGAGTTTTGAAAGTATGGCCCCTGTNCCTGTGGGTTCCTTCACGACTGTAGGACTGAAGGAACTCGTTGCTACCACTAAATGCGTGACTAATTATTCATAATTCAACTCAACGACTGCGCGCCTGTGGGTTCCTTCACGACTGTAGGACTGAAGGAACTCGTTGCTACCACTAAATGCGTGACTAATTATTCATAATTCAACTCAACGACTGCGCGCCTGTGGGTTCCTTCACGACTGTAGCACTGAAGGAACTCGTTGCTACCACTGAATGCGTGACTAGTTATTCATAATTAGTGCGAATAATAAATGCAGGCTAGTGAAGCCCACATGCTTCTTGATCCTTGACATTGTACTAACTAATCTTCAACTCTAACTGCTGTCAAAACAAATATAATGATCAATGTGTAAGCAGAATTTTACTTAATGCAAATGTTTATTGATTTTAATGTCGTACATAAAATTAATTTCATGCTTTATTTCATTTCAATATATCTGCTAAACACCTGTGCAGCCTTACAATTCTGCTTTTCATGAACTTTTAATCTGTATTGGACTTGTAAACTTTGTAATTTGTCGCGTCGGATGAAGGTATTTGTCCTCTGATGGGTGGTTGGGTGTGCAGGTTGTAAGCGAAGAGGAGTTGGTGTCGCTGGTGCTGAGTGTGGAGGAGGGTGTGGCGAGGGAGTGTGGTGGCGTGTGGCGTCGTCATGCTGACCTCCTGCACCACATGGCCAGCCTCACTCTATGTCTGCCTCCTGCCATGTTGCTGCCTCGTCTCATACCGAGAGTTATGGACCGCATGGTCACGGCCGTGAGTTAAATTTTCAGACTTTATAACCATAGTATCTATGCATGGTCGTTCAGCAAACCTTAGAACGTTCGTGTTTTCCCACGAAAATTCTAGTTAACATTTTATTCTGATTATAATAAAATACTGGGTCTAAAATTTCTTACTTATGCTTTCGTCAACATCAAAAATAGAGATAGTTAACTGAGTAGTTATGCAATAATGCTGAAGCATATTGACGGTTATGTTGGCGATGGCTTGGCGTATGTTGTTCTTCAAATGAGGCAGGGTTCTTGGACAGTCAGTATAAACAATTGATTTAAGATATCCCCCATATAAAAATCATTCGGAACCAAATCGGGGGATCGGGCCGGGTTAAAGAAGGTCACCTCTCAAGGAGATGAGGCGCTCTGCAAAATATTGTCTCAGAAGATCCGTTGAACGTCGCGCTTTGTAGGCTGTGGCTCTATCCTGTTGGAACCGGACATTTCTTAATTAATTTCTGCCAGTTTTTAGCAAAAAAACGTTAATCATTTGCGTGTACAGAGCTGCAGTCACCGTTACCTGCGCGTTCGTTTTTCTCAAAGAAATAAGGGCCAATTATGCCAACTTTTGACGCCGCACACCGCAGAGTTACGCGTTCGCAATGAATTGGCCGCTGATGAAGTTCACGCGAATTGTTTGCACTCCAATAACGCATGTTTTGCTTGTTTACGCTGCCGGAAATGTGGAAGTGATTCTCACCACTAGAGAGAACGACTGCATCGTTAGGCAAGTTCCCAGGAAGCGAATACCGAATCGAGTACGGAATGCTCGTTGAATAGCGATAATGGAGCGGCCATTAGAAAGTACACCTCGACAGCAAACGCACGCTGCTCACTTGTCCAATGCATAGTGGCACCTGACTAGGCGGGACACAAAACTTATAATGACCTTGTCTTGCATATGAAATACTCCTCGCCCTTTTCCTATATCTGACTGTTTGGCGCGAAAAACAAAACAGGAAGTTTCCCTGAATCACCCTGTAGATATTTTCATTGAGAAATCTTCAGATTGTTTATTTTGCCCAATTTTGTTGCATGATGTAAATACTACGATAAGTACGTATTGACTCACAGTGAATGTGTACGAAGAAGAGCCTGCCTGCCTGTAACTTGCTTAATAGAGTTGTTTCTAAGTGCCAGTGCTTAATAATAAATAGAGTTGTTTCTAAGTGCCAGTGCTTAATAATAAATAGAGTTGTTTCTAAGTGCCAGTGCTTAATAATAATAATAATAAATAATTTGTTTTTTACAGCGGGCGCTGCCGTGCCGGGTTGCTGCTGTGCGCTCGCTGCTGGTGTACCTGCAGCAGCTGGCGCCTCAGCAGCAGCGTCTTGTGGCGGCCAACACTGTGGCGGGTACGATACTTCCTCTAGGCTTAGATGCTGCTGGAAATAGTTTATTTATTGTGTCATTTATAGGCTTAGATGCTTTTAGTTTATTTATTGTGTCATTTATAACTATTAGTGAAAAATTGTGCATTTTCAGAATCTTTTACCTGGTGTTATCTGTGATGCTATAAGTTTCTGTTAAAACTTTTTAGCGCATTTTCTCATTTATGGAAAAAATGTCCTATTGTGCTCTTCATGTCCGTCCGTCTGTCCGTGACTTCACGTTTTCGTCGATTTTGAGAAGAGAAAATGCGTTCTCTGTCACTCACTGCAGTGAGTACTGAGTTATATTTTTTGAGTGATAACAATCATTTTCAATCTAAAATGATTTTCCATTATTAACTGGAAACCTTATGACGTAATTCATTTCCCATGTTAAGGATGAGTTCTGAGCACAACATTGTTCTCAGAATTTTACAAAGTAATAAGATAAAATGTTGCTCAGAACCGGTAAATATATTTATTTGCAGTTCTGTGCAAGAGCCGCAGCTGCCACCACCGGATGCTCTACCTCACGCTCTGTGAGCTGAGCTTCAGCCTCCTGCCCGCCTCCCTCTTCTTGGAGTGCTTCAGCTCTGCCATGCTGGCCCTACACTGTCAGTGTCTACGCTTGGTTCTTTTGCTTGCTTGAGCCTTCATCACATAGTCAAGAGTACCGAATTAACCAGTGTTGCCTTGCGTTCTTGAGCCTTCATCACATAGCCAAGGGTAGCGAATTAGCTAGTGGTGCAAGCACTAAAAAAAGTTTCTATCCTGAAACTATATTTCAATCGCGATGAACATGATTTCATGTTGGGCATTGAGTTGCTACGAGTGTTGTACACTAATAAAAAGTAAGAGCAAAGTTTTGAACTTAATTATCTGTGCTAATTGAAGGCTCCGAACACAATTTACTGAATAATAAGAATGTGGACACGAATTTTTTACTAGTTCAACCTGGCTTGTGAGGTGTCAATTTTTCTCTATATTTTGCGATGATATACGCTCTTGCTATAGTGAGATAGTGACGTGTTGGCTCCTCAGGTGACGCTGTCCCCAACATCAGACTGCGGGTCGTGCATCTTCTTCCTGCCTTCAAGTCCATCCTGACGATGCCCTCAGACACAGCTCGTCTCAAGGTATGTCTGGCGCGCCGCCCTCACTTCTTAAACTCGTGTGTCAAGTTACATACTGATATCCTTGTCCTGATATCAATTACTCAACTTCGATAACATCGTAACTTGGATTAGAGTACGAAAGCCCAATGTTTTAAAAAAATATATAACTCGGTACTAACTGCAGTGAGTGACAGAGAGCGCATTTTCTCGTCGACGAAAACTTGAGGTCACGGACGAACGGACGGACAGACAGACAGACGGACATAGCGAGCACAATAGTGCATTTTTTCCATAAATGAGAAAATGCGCTAAAAAGGAGAAAAGGTTCTAAATTATTATTACTTAACGACCTCTTGAATTATTTCGAATTTAGTAAAAAATATTTCAATGACCATGCTTTTATTGCCCGTGCAAAGAGGTTGTTAAAGCGTTAATGTCTGTAATGTTCACAATGACATTACTGGTCTACGGGATTCCCTTCTCTACATTTATCCCTTGTCCTCGTGATCCGCTGTGTTACTCTGAAGCAGTACGAAATTATCTACGTTATTTTGCAGTGTTTGGAGACGGCCGTGGGGCGTCTGCTGCTGACGGAGAGCGACCGCGACGTGCGGGACGCCGTGGAGGCGAGCATCGCGGCCCTGGAGGCCGTACACGTGCGCCAGAGCTCAGCCTCGACCAGCTGCAGAACGTCGAGCGATGGCTCTGCGCGTGAGTCTTGCGTCATGTTGCTAGGATCTCAACTCACTTCGTAGACCAGGGGCCATACTTTCAAAACTCGCTAAGTGAACATACTTATGCTCTATTTTCTTGTCTATGATTGGTGGATTTTGCTTGAAAGGCCGTCAATGATTGGCTGATGAGCTTACGAGCTCTTAACTTTTTTTGAAAGTATAGGCCCTTGACTATGAAAGCTCAGAAAAAGTCAAGTAAATTCACCATTTCGTCATTGAAAACGTTGTGGAGGCCAGCTGCATCATTACTTCAAAATGAAAATAGTATATTACTTATATTGTACATTATATATAGGTATTACTTCGTAGAGAGTAACAACGAGTGTGAGATTTACAGCTAAAAGTGACATTGGCATTGAGAGTTGGGGTGTGCGGCTGACACTAAATTTTGTTTGCTAAGTGCGATTGCTTCAAGAATATATGATCCGAATTGGTTTTGTTTCATGGATGCTCATGGAATTATTATGTCATAGTGTAATGATTGAAATGAATGATGGGAACTTTTATCTAAATAAATGTTTGAGAAAATGCTTACCATCACCTTGTCCCGATTGCTGCATTCGTCTCTTGATGCATTAATCTAAGGTATCACATCTTTCGTACTTCTTTTCAAGTAGAATTTGTACATTTCTGGTATGAAAATTATTAACCGCAATTTTTTTCCTGCAGATACTGACGCACAAGCGTTACTTGCTCCTGATACTGAGAATTGTGTTACATCACCGAAACTGAGCTGTCATGGTACGACTGGAGCGACTACAACCTCCCCCTGCCATACCTCATCTCGCACTGGGTCCTGCACAAGCGCGTCCTCGACTTGTCCCGACAGACAGAGCGACTCTGCTTGCCAGATGCGCAACGAACCTGGGGCTAAGACCCAGATGGTAACCAAAGAGAGGAAGAATAACGACACCAAATCGCTTATGAATTTTTCTGATAACCACGAACAAACCCTGAGCAGAGATCCAGCAAACGCTGTCTTACGAAACGAACATTCCAGAAAAAATGATGCTAATGACGATGTAAAGTCAAGGTTTAATAAAAATCAAGATCGAAATGAAGAGTTTGGCAAGCGTAACCCTAGTGGCATCCCACGTATTGCGGGACTAGAGCATCAGGACCTCAAATGTGGCTCGCCTTCTTCTAACAGACGCCTGAGTGCCGTCGTACCGCCCCCTACACGACCTCCTGACTCGTCCACCGTCTTGCGGTATGTGCTCGCACTCTAATTCTAAATATTTAAATTATAACTTTTGATATTATAGGATTTATTATTCACCTCTAATTCTTGTACAAACATTCTAAATATTTCTAGAAATTCGCACTCTAATTCTTGTGCGAACATTCTAAATATTTAAATTATAACTTTTGATATTGTAGGATTCATTATTCATATATGATGATGTTAAATTTTAGTATTGACCGTTGATGATGCTATTGACAATGCTTGACTAATACATATTGCCGATATTTGTTTTACTTGGAAAGGAAAGCGTTTTATTTTAATTTCTCTAAAAACGCTTTTCTGTTCGTAGACTTTTAGGGCTCGTTTTATTGGTGCTCTATATTTGCTAGTAGGTATAAATTCTGTTTTTTTTTTTCTACGTGATAACTTTTCTACATGGTAACATTGCCTAATAACATTTAATATCTTTAATTCTACGTGATAATGGGTAACTTTTGATAAGTTCCCCATTTACCGGTTGTATATCTTCGTTAGTAATTATCCCTGCTGGCTTCTCCTTTGAACAAATATCTTGTTTTTTTTTTGTCTGGATTTGTTGTGATAATAAACGTGAGGGAAATTCCATTTTCTGCCGCTCATCGCGTTGATGTCTGATCGAGTTTGTCCGTTTCTCATCCTGCTGCTCTGGAACCCTGCCCGCGACCGCTCAACGCCTGGTATAATTTTTATCTTCTGTCTTCTGCAAAATTTGTCTCTTGTGCAATATCCTTCATTTGACTTCCAATATCCTTCTTTTTATTTCGTATCAACAACATTCGGCATTAATTCTAAGAAATTATTTTATCAATCTGATAATTCGATGTTTTGATTTTGTCAACTGTTTCATTCAAAATCGCTGCTATTTTGTGCCTATTTTGCTTTGCCATGTTTTTCTGTGCACCTTCTCATTGTTTCGTACTTTTATTTCCCATCTTTTTACATTCTTTTCCAATATTTACATTAGGATTTTTTGCGTTCTTCAATCCGTTATTTCTTACGTACGAAGCATACAAACGATTTAATTTTACGGTTTATCACTTGCATGGAATTCACATTACTCTTTTCCTTTCACCCTGGATATTACCGCCAGCGTCCACCTGTCTCCACATCTCCCTTATATTTGCCACTATGTCTCTATGTGTTAGGCACAATCTTGCTGTGCGCTATCGCATAAACAGTGAGGGAACGGAGACTCTCTCCACCACACGAAGCCTAGAGGCACGACAGCCTGTGGGCTACCTTGGCGCCTCACGCCAGGAAAACACGGCACAAGATGCTTGGCATTCGCCTAATTCCGAAGGCTACCTAAGCATCACCAGCGCCGTGTCCCCTGTTAGCAGTAGTGGCAGTTTGAGCAGCAGCGGTGGCAGTCCTCACAGCTATAGAGATTTGAGCTTCAACAATACCGTCGTGACAGACTCGAGCGCTTGGTGGTCTCAAGTGTCGGAAGCCGCTGCTGAGTCTGAACCACAGCAACTGAACCTGGCTCAGTTACAGCACGGAGGGCAGAATCAAGTTTACGGAGCTTCCCCTCATCCTGTTCCTCAAGTTAGCGACAAGTCTTGCGGTTTCTCTCGCTCGTCTTCCCTCGATGCCGATAGCGTCCTTATGCTCGCTCAACAAAAACTGCAACAAACCCCTATCTTCCGCCTGCCAAAAGAGTTTGTTAAGCTTAGCTCGCAGCTCGTCACTTCCAGTTATTCTGACCTTTATTCCAACTCTACTGAAGATCCTCCTCCGATGCGGTTGGCAGATCGCTCTCGTCTTGATGCGACTGTGGAGGCTCCCCCAGTTTCGTCCGCGCAGAATCTGCTCACCAATCTCAGAAAATCTGACTCGTGTAACTTCACGGAAGAGGCTTGGCAGAAGCTAAGCAAGTTGAATCTCACCGATAAGTTTGCATCATACCGCGAGAAAGCTACTAACATTTCCACTCGTGAGTTGTTCTGGCTACGCACGTCACGTACGCGGTGGCGACGTAAGGTGGCCTCTGCAGACACGAGCCCTGAAGACACGAAGCGCCTGCCGCGGTTCACGCGCGGACTATCCCAGGACTCTGCTCAGCGACACTGTTCTGACGGCGACCCTCAGCAGCCTTCTGGTGCTAAGGAGCAAGAGAATGAGCACACAACAGACGTGTCGCACTACGGACATCGCATTCATCTGTTGCACAACGACTCTGACCAGGAGTGTTCTAGTCCGTCTAGCCCATTAGGCATGTATACATGGCCGCCTCAGCACTTCCGTCAGCATCGCGCTTTAAGCTCGTCTGAGGACTCTGCTGCTGCTTCCAAAATTAACGAATCGCCTCTTACTCATAACATAATAAATGAAACTTCACGAGCTTTTGATTCGAATTTTAAGCTAGATCGATCTCCGATACCTGGTAATTCGCATGTTTATTCCGGCAATGTTGACCGTTATTCAGCGCGAACTGAAAACTCAAAGAGCGTGACGCAACTGCAGAGTCCTCAACCGCGCTATCACCACAACACCAGCGGCCGGAACACCGACACCAATGAAGCAAAGTTACGTGATCACGTTCCTAAAGGCAGGCCGGAATATCCACTACCAAACAACTCTAGTTCCAGCGACGGATCTGATTATGTTAGACGTGAAAGTTTTAATTTTCCTCTCACTGGGAGCTCTTCCTATGACACTTCATTTGCCCGTGATCGAGGCGGCGTATCAAATGCGATCTGGCAAAACCAAAGCCCCGAAACTCGTAACCACTTACTTGATATGCGGCTAAGCAGAAAGTTCAATTGCGTTCGCCAGGACGCATTGCTGGATAATGCCAGTGATTTGGAAGACCAAGGATATTCTCGGAGCTCCAGCGCCTCGAAAATACCGTCTCAGGATAATCCTTACTCAAGATCAGCTTCTGTGTCTAGCGCAAACGAACGCAGGATTGAGGACTTGTATGTTGTGCACGGCATTCCACCTACCATCGGAGGCAGAGGCAGGATTTCAGCCCATGAGCGTACTCTCCCAGTCCCTATGTCATCAAAATACAGACCTTCTCTGTACTCCAATCAACGTTTAAGTAACAGTTATAGAGCTTCATCTCTTGATGATCATCTTTATTGTGTTCCTTATTCTCCTCCTGATAGCGAAAATGACTCGATCTATGAGACAATTTCTCACGGAAACTCTGGTGGTAAGTACAAATACCATGTATACGCTCACAGATCCCAAGATCTTGAGACTAACTCGGGCTTTTACGATTCGGGTGAGTTGGCCACTCGGTCTTCGTCTTGCGCGTATCCTATTGGTCCCTTAGGTGCTTCATGGATGCAGCAGGGCATGCTGCCATATCCCTCATCTGCTTTATCGCGTATGGGTCGACTATCCCGTGTGCCGGTACGGTCCTCGTCCTGGTCTGTAAAGTATTCTCCCTCTTCCCTCAGCCTGTCGTCCCTCGACCCTGCCGCTGACGAGTTTATCGTGGACACAGGCGTTCGCATGGACGAGTCGGTCCTCCGGTCACGCTTACCCACTCCTATGTCCCTCGTTTCCCCGCCCGCGCGAGTCCCTTTTTCGCGTACACTTTCCTCGTCAGCTTTCTCCGCCTTCACAAACATGAAAGACCTCAAGTCATGTTCGTCGCGCCTTCGCCCACCCACACCTTCTAGCTTGAGAGATGTTTCGACGGACACTCCTTTTGTCCGTAATGGTGCAGATGGCACTTCACGTCTTAGGTCGTCTGCGAGGTGCATGCGGCCCGTGTCAGCTGCTGGGGGATCTTCTTCTTCATCCATTACTGGCAAAAAGTCCGTGAGCCACGAAAACCTCCGCCTTGATGGTCGTACCAACTCGCTCATGGAGATGACGGGTATACCGCGTTCCGAGTCCCACCTCGCTCCTGCTGGGAAGGACTTCGCTCAGAGCCCCAAAAATAGCAGCCGGATCAAGCCCCCTAGCAAATATAATTCTTCTGTAGAGAATAACCATCATTCTCACTCCTCTAGTTCTTGTTCTTCATCTTCATTGAATAGTTGTGGACGTTATTCCAAGCCCACTGTATACTCGAGCCCAGATAACAGCTGCGACCCTCAGCGACCGAAGTCCTCAGGCTTGTACTCAAAAACACCTGCAAGCAGTAAACATTCCTCTTCAAGACCCAGCAGCAGCTGCTCCTCACCGGGGACATCGCGCAGCGTGTCGCCCGTCCAGCCGTTCTCGCGGTCGTCCACGCCTGGTGGCGAGGGCGCGTCCCCTCGAGACGACGACGACGACAAACTTTCTCTCACGAGTCCCGTTGACGGAGGGGCTAAAGGTGGAGGTACAGCTGCGCGACGAAGCTGTACCTCCACCAGCAAACTCCCGCTCCCAAAGAATAAGCAGCGCTAAACGATAATTTCTTAAGTTTTGCAAACGTAAAGAGAATGTATTTTTAAACTTGGCCAAAAAACTTTACTCGTGAATTGCCGCGAGTGATTCGTTTATCAAGAATTTATCTGTTTGAGAGCGCTTCTTTTATTCCCTGTTCAAACTTCAACCGGATATTTTGATACGAAACGCTCTTCGTTCAAGTCATTACTCGTGATTTTGAACTTCTTTTATTTTGATTTATTTGCATGAAAGTTGAGTAATTTGTGGAAGCATTTTCTGTCTTCACTCATATTTTTAGGCCATGAACGACTTTTTACAGAAGCACGTTCACTTATCGCACTGAGCAACACAGTGTTAGCATTTATTGCATTCTTTGTGTTTGAAAGAAAAAAGAGCTATTTCTTGAAGACTGTCACTGAATTAACTATTTTGTCATCGAATTATTTTAGCCAACAAATTTTTATTGCTCAATCTTGTGCAACATTATTTTGACCGTTACTTTTTGCTTGTTCACATAGAATTAGTTTTCTTCATTACTGCACTGCTTTGTCGGAAGTTTGCATTAATTATGCAGAAAGCTATTATCGATGTATTTTCTGCAATACCTATAAATATTTTAACGCTTCGAAGCTATGATATAAAGTATTTTTTATTCAAAGCTAAAGGTTGGACTTTCGCAACTTACGGAATCCAAACTTCAGTGAGCCTCAGAGATAATCTCTAATGGCTGTCGAGCATTTCCTTCATAAGACTTCAGTTGCATCAATTGAATTCAAAACCTGCGCGTTTGAATAATATGTTTTTACTTTATTATTAAATAGCATGCTCTTACACTTAGTAATGTTTATATTTCGTCTACTAGGAAGATCTGATAATTCCTTATTACGCAGACGTCAACCTTGACTTTTAGTCGGTAGTGCACCGAACCAAGTTTCTCATATTTTCCGCATGGGCAGGGTGGCCCAGTGGTTAAAGTTCAGAGAACCAAGACTGACGCACAAGAGAGGCGCGGGTTCGATCCCAGCTCTGTGCGCCAGTTTCTGTGAGAATCGGCAAGGAGGCCGGGCGGTTAAGCACAGCAGAATTGTAGCAGTGAGTTGCGAGTTCGAGACCGCAAAATGCTGTGAATGTTCTGCGATGTTAAGAATCGGCGACAGGCCTACGGCCTAATAACGCTGAAACCGCTATAACCGCTATATATTGATTTGTAGAAACTCCTGGTAAGTAACGTTGAGATGCAACTTACTTCATAAATCCTTTATTGCTGAGAAGTTTCATCAGATTTTATGTGTCGTATCGGATATTTCTTTGTTTGTTTCGGCCTATATGCCATAGGCCTGCTAGTTCTTATCTCACTATGAGGCTCTTCGTACCTGATAATTTTTAGGCACGACTTTAAATGACTGATTCATTAATACTTATTTTTATTTGTCTTCTCTATTATATTAATTGATTCAATTTTTACCTACGAGATTCGTCTGCTCATTGGGTTAGAAATCTTAGATTATTATAAGAAACTGATCAAATTATGTCGACTGCGATGTCGCTCAGTTACCTTTCAGTAGTATAAATAATCCTTTAGTTTAAGTTTCATTGACTAGAAATAATTTTTTCTTGGCTTCGATCTATCCATTAGTAGTATAAAGTTTCAAAATAGTAGTGACGTACTGCAATATTGAAATTACGCAACAAATATCGTCTGAATTGTAATCTTTAAAAAGATCGAGTCTAGTGTTCGCCCAGAAAACGATGGAGAGAAACGATTAGTCTGTATTAAACCCCTCTATTACACTGTTAGAAAAAACGGTGAAAAAACGGTCTCACTGGCGTTCTAGTGGCCGGTCGCCCCGTGAAAATAAACAGTTTCGCCGTTTTTATCAGATGTTTCACGTATTTCTAGTGTTAAATTAGAATAAAAACGGCGACACGGTGTTTCTTTTCACGTGCCGACCGGCCACTGAAACGCCGGTAATACCGTTTACGGGAATTTTTCTAACAGTGTATTCTGCTCGATATATTTTAACTGCATGTAATTAAGAGTCTCCAGTTACCTGTTAATGTTTCAAATAATCTGACTAATTTATAAGAAGAGTATAGCGTTGATAATATTAATTATATTCGTGTAATCCTTCTTATTAATGAAGTGATCGTCGGTTACCTCCCATGGCCAAATCTACTCGTAGTTATTGCACGTACTTATTACTCATGGTCCCGCTTGTTGTAGACTGCCGAATCGCCAGTCAGAGATTATAAAATCAGAGATTATAAAATCAGAGATCATAAAATCAGAGATTATAAAATTCATGCGGGAAAAAACGCTATTTTATTGAATGCATTTGCCTTGCTGTCAGAAATCTGAGATTTTAGATCGTTATGGGTTATCAAATTATGATTATGGCCCCAATGAGATTAATTGAGTGTAGAATATTTTAAAATAAGAGTAAAATTCTGTGTGATGTAAAATTGTTCGAGTAAACTTATGTGTGATGAGAGGAAACTATTTAGAATATGGCGCAGCGTGTTGTGAATATCGCCCCGTATTTTTCTCTCGATTGTTTTCTAGCCGTTGTGTGGTCAGCCGCTGTGTATGGTTGAGTGATGCGGGATGTGTGATGCGTGATGTGTGATGCGTGATGCGTGATGTGTGATATGTGAAACGTGTATGTGATGCATGATGTGTGATGCATGATGTGTGATGCATGATGCGTGATGTGTGATATGTGAAACGTGTGTGATGCATGATGTGTGATGCATGATACGTGTTGTGTGATGTATGATGCATGATACGTGTTGTGTGATGCATGATACATGATGTGTGATGAACGCCAATTTCTGCCAGCACTAAAATTCGAGCTAGGAACACGTTGCACTTCCATGAGGCTTTTTTTAGTAAGTTACTTACTGTTATTTGATGGTTGTTTTACGGTTGTTAAATATTTGTTCATGGTAAATATGGTAAATTATGTGCGTGTAATGCAGGGCAAGATGTTCTTTTTATTATCAAGGCAGCTCGCCGTCAGTGGCCCTATAGACTGTAGCTGTGAACGCCTGTAGCTGCTCCAATTATTCATTTATAACGGTTTACATTAATTTATGTGTTTAAAATTCGTTCTCTATGGCGCTAAGCATTCCGAAGTATAGGAAATTCTTTGCATTTTAAGAAGAAAGCTCAACTTAATTGATTAGCTTACCCCTGTGAAAGTGATTACCTGATAACAATCTATTATGAAGCTATGCATACCAAAGTATTTATAATATTCTTCGTAGCTGTTTAATAATAAAAAACGGAGGCGTGTTTTGTTAAGGTTATTTCTATATGTTTCTCCCTGGGGTTACAATACTGTGTTGTTGACTGTACTTAATCTTGCCAAGGTTTTTTGTTACCATGTGTATTAGAACTTTATGGTGCGAGAAAATGTCCATCGCTGTCTCCATGCATCACAACTCGGCTCTTATTAGAGAACTTATTTTCGGTTCTCGTACACCTTGTATTATCTATTAACCCTGAAATAACTTATGCATAAACCTGAATCATTAAATTACCGGAACCGTTAATTGGTTCACGTTAATATTCTGGTGAAAGTTATGAGACCGAAATGCCTCACCGACTTTGATTATTGAAGATATCCTTGTAATGGACCTCCCATTTCTAGGCTAAATTCTCTTGTCGATCGTTCGTCACGAAATTTTCAAGAATCTCTACATTTTAAGATTTAGAGTAACACGAGAACTTAATTAAATAATGATCTCTTAAATAATATTTGTAAATGCAAAACTGCTGCTGTTATTTTCTGTGCATGTGAGTTATTTTCTGCCGTGCTGCTGTTATTTTCTGTACGCGTGAGTTATTTTCTGCCGTGCTGCTGTTATTTTCTGTATGCATGTGAGTTATTTTCTGGCATGCTGCTGTTATTTTCTGTATGCATGTGAGTTATTTTCTGGCATGCTGCTGTTATTTTCTGTACGCGTGAGTTATTTTCTGGCATGCTGCTGTTATTTTCTGTGCATATGAGTTATTTTCCGCCGTGCTGCTGTTATTTTCTGTGCATATGAGTTATTTTCTGCCGTGCTGCTGTTATTTTCTGTGCATATGAGTTATTTTCTGGCATGCTGCTGTTATTTTCTGTATGCGTGAGTTATTTTCTGCCGTGCTGCTGTTATTTTCTGTGCGCGTGAGTTATTTTCTGCCATGCTGCTGTTATTTTCTGTGCGTGTGAGTTATTTTCTGCCATGCTGCTGTTATTTTCTGGCATTGCTGTGCACGTGCAGGCCAGTGGCCATACTTTCAAAAACTCGCCAAATGAACGTAAGTACTTACGCTTTATTTTCTTGTCTGTGATTGGCGGATTTTGCTCGAAACTCGAAAGGCCGTCAATGATTGGCTGATGAACTTACGATCTCTTAACTTTTTTTGAAAGTATAGGCCCTGATGCCTGATAACGTACACCAGCGCGCAGCTTGAGGATGTCGAACCATAATCCTTAATACTGGCGCATTAAATTTCACAAGCTGACTAAATAAATATTAAACCCGATCAAATAGATATATTTCAGCAGGTATATATTTATGTATAGTTAACATATACTTAAATTTCTCTTGTTCGTCTAATCATTGTTGTCTTGTAAATGGTTTTGTTTTGGTATGCCGTCAAAGGAAAAGGCCCAGTACTTATTATGGCTCCCTCACTGCCTTTAATGATGAGAATAAATACATGATGATAGATGAATAATATACTTTATACATGAATAAAAGACTTTACATGACGAGAATAAATACAAGCGTGCAGGTTCCTTTATAATTTATGCGCTGACAAGATGCGTAAGGCATCGCGTTAACAAGTTGAACTTGTCTGTTTTGTAGCAAATCCATCTATGTTTTTCCTCGGTACAATATTATTTAAATTTGACAGCGTTAAATTAAAACTGATTGGTATTTTAATTTGGATATATTGGTTTTATCAGTAGCCCCGTAAGATTTTAGGATTAGTTATGTACGAGATTCTCCTCCAGTTAATGATGACATTCGTAAGGGTCATTGTTGGCCTACAAATATGACGGGACTTTTGGCATATTTTATTGGACTTTATGTACATTTCTCATCAAAACCCTGCCATAATGCAGTAATAAACGAAGTACCCGGGTGCGATAAACTCGTCAAACTCTTCCATTCGATTAGGAAGGGACTGTTTCGATTCGATTAGGAAGGAAGGGACTGTTTCGATTCGATTAGGAAGGAAGGGACTGTTTCGATTAGGAAGGGACTGTTTCGATTCGATTAGGAAGGGACCAACCGAAACCAGACTGTTTCGGTTGAACCATGTCTTGAGATTTGCTTTACTAAAACGTTGTCATAAGAGGAAATATTTTATGAAAGATAGTCAAGCGATTCCGATTCAAACGTTCGATATCAACTCTACATGCTTAAGCGGATAAGTGCTGAAGATTTATTATATTTTGTAGATTGATTTTCTATTCGCAAAAATTTAAATTTCAGTGGGTCAATGAGACCATATCGGCAATTATGTCCGTAGAACATTGTTTAAGCGCTCTTTTTAATTAAGGATCAGAGTTGACGTAATGATATTCTTATCCGAATTATTTTTGAAATTTCGGCGGCGACCAGCGTCGTACACATTAGACAGCGTGAACCATGGTTGAACTATATAAGGCTGACCCATGGTTGAACTATATAAGGCTGACCCACGAGAAGTTCCGTCTTTCAGTTCAGCTTTCTTGTTACGTCACGTAGATCGAGAAACGTAAACAATCCCGTCAGTCTCTTGACGGATTGGTTGACTGGTTTGATCGTATTTCGGTGATTGGTTAATGCCCGTGACGTCACTGAGATCAGCGACGTCACAGACAAACAACAAACTACATCCGCAAAAATGGGCTTCTGATGGGTCAACCTTATACTAGTTCAACCATGGGTCAACCTTATGCTAGTTCAACCATGGCGTGAACATCTCTGAAGAAGATTGTTATCGTGCGAGAGCTGCTCACGCTCGTCATGCTGTGCAGAGTGCGTCACTCATGCTGCTCTCATGAGATCTTCCATTCACTGTTAAATGATAAAATCTTTCGTCTGTCTTTCATTCGTCCTCCCAATGACCCTAGACTACAACTCGACGAGTCGAGTTGAAGGAGGAAGAATATTCCCTAATGTGTTAATAGAAACAACACAATACCTCTATTGAATCGTTGTTCAGTTTAATTTCATTCATAAGATTTACTTAGCTGATTTGATTATTATTGGTGCTGTGATTAGTGCATTTTTAGCGCATTTTCTCATTTTTGGAAAAAAATGCACTATTGTGCTCGCCATGTCCGTCCGTCCGTCTGTCTGTCTGTCTGTCTGTCCGTCCGTGACTTCACGTTTTCGTCGACGAGAAAATGCCCTCTCTGTCAAAATGGGCTCTGCAGTGAGTACTGACTACTGAGTTATATTTTTTTCTCTCTATTCTGTGAAACCGTGCTTTTCAATAATTTGAATTTAATTCATTTAGATTATCAAAAATTAAGTACTTATAAACGGCTGGTATGATGAACTTCTCGGCCATCCCAGCTTCCAATTGCTGTTAGCACAGCAATAAACTAAGTGGGCGAAAAATATCTAAATTTCGACATCGCAGGCAACGGTTGACGTTAATTTTCATTGGTCTGCCAAAATGAAAAGATATAATTACATTGTAATGGCCCATTATAAAAAAATGATCTAGACAACCTAGCTTATTTACGACAAACGCCTCAACGCTATACCTCGTTGGGCAACGTCTAGGCCATGGTTGAATTAATACACCATAATTAATAAAATGAAGTATTCAACCATGCGTCTAGGCTACGTATAGTGGTGTCGCAACAGGAACGACTAGGACAACGAACAAGTGCTACGCGAGATGCGTAGAAGCTGCTGCTGCTGCACAAAAAATTATTTCTGAAAAGTGAACTTAGAGAAAGTACGCCCGGATAAACGAATAAATTAGAGTGAAGTTATAACATCGTACGGGAGGCAATTGATGGGAACTATGAGCGTATTGTATTCGTGTCTCGTATGAACGACTGCTCTACATCAAACAACGAACCCAGCACGACTGCTCAATACAACGACCCCTGTCCAAGTATAAAAAGGTAATGACGTAGACCAAGGTAAATGATGAACGACTAGCGAAAAACTTGAAAAATTTAGTGATTTTTCGACAAATGACTCAGTTGCGCTTGGTAGTGTCAGTAATTTGTTGTAGGTGCAAACATTTTTTCCGCAACGTTTCAACAAAATCAACTGACTTGTTATATGATACACTAACTACTCTCGTCCGTCAAAATGCCTTCGTTGCCTTCTTTTGATATCTGCCCGATTACGTACAATAAAATAGCATAGGACTTAGGACGATATTTTAGGTATCGTAGTTTGACTTTATTGTAAAAGACAAGTCACTCTTCCAATTTTCATTAAATTTGCAGAAAAATTAAAATTCATTATATGTAATTTATTGATTGTTAATTCCGATTCCTTCTCTCTTCTTCCGTCTTGGTGTGACTGTAGGCGAGACAGACCATTGTCGGTTTCCTGGAAAGCGATGGACATAAAGGACAATTCTCTAGACGGAGTGATTCAGTAAACATGAAACATCTTCCAAACTAATGAAGCTCGATGAAACTTCGTACATCCGTTCATGAAGACCTAAATGTCATGTTTATATCGTGACTTTTTTTTTGTTTCGCCTGCGTTTCCAATTTATCCGATCTTACGGGCCAAAATTCGCAGTGAACATAAAATTGGTCATTAAAATACTGAACAGATTCGAACGTGACTTATAGAATACATTCCTAATAACCTAACGCTGATGTTTGGGTCGCACAAAAATTTTCCATTAAGGCTTCATTTGCGATATATTTTGCTATACGCTAAAGTAATAACGGCTATACGGTGACAATCAGCCTATTTGGCTATAGGCTTATTGTCAAATTTGCAGTGAACATGAAACCTCTTCCAAACTTATGAACGCAGCTCGATGAAACGTTGCGCATTCATTCATTAGACCAAACGGTTATTTTTAGGTCGTGATATTTTTTTTTATTTTGCCTTGGTTGATGACGAAGGAGGCTATATGTGGAATCCTTTACATAAATGCAATTAATCAATTTTTATGAAGCATCATCACTCTATTACAGTTCACTTACGTCGCAAACGAAGGTAAAATCGAAAAAGTTATCACGACCTAAACATCACCGTAGGATCCTGATGAACGCCATGCTACGTTTTATCGAGCTTCGTTTAATAGTTAGGGAGATATTTTATGTTCAATAAATTTCCAAAACCGGCCTGAGAATTATCCGAGAGGTGCGATCTGCAGTAAAAACTCATGGATAGAACTTCTCGTGTTTCCTGCCATGTCTTATTTTTAGAAGGCTCAAGTGCGTCTAATCTACTGTGACAGAAAGTGACTCGAAGTATAAGTCGTGGTATCAGCTGATATCTGCAATCAATTGTTATAAACTAAACATATTTTGAGGGGCAATTCGAAATGACACGCCAGGCGTGTCATTGGACGAACACATTGGCGTGTACACATTTCGAACACATTGGAACAAATTTCGAACACATTGGCGTGTTCGAAATTTGAGGGGCAACTTGCCAGACACGCCAACACCGATGCAGGCGCCACAATTAAGCGTTTCTCTATAAGAAATGGAAGGCAATTGGCATATCGACAAATGCCAAGCAAGGCGCTGCCATCTCCTTGTTTCTACCCTCCTCTCCCTCAGCCCCCCAAGCACTCACTGCAGTCCGATTCGGGCGCTCGTCCAGAATGTGTCGACCTTTGTCTGTCGGCTTACTGCCTCGACTTTTTTCTCCTGCGTCTCAGCTTCTAAAAAACCAGAACGGTTGAATTTGTATTCAGGTCATTTTACGTTGGAAGAGCTTATGCAATGGTGAAGTCTACGGACTCTACTCCTAATATTTAATTTACTTACATTGTTTGACTAATTAAAATGTACGGGATTGTCAGGATCTAGAAAAGAAATGAAACTTGAAGCACAACTTGCCAAGTTATCGGAGATTAGGACGTACATTCGCTGGAAGCTTGGCTGGTATTTTAGGTGTGCGCGGGGGGCGGGGCAGTAATGACGTCGCAGGGGTTGAGCCTCGAGACTGCAGTCAGTGTTGATCGCGCCTTGCTGGGTGTAGTGCCGCTCGTCCTCACCATCCCCAACATTGCTGCAGTCACATCCCCTCGCTACTCCAAGGTGACGTTTCTCTAAACCTTAATGCATTTTTCAGCATGTAGCGATCCTGGCGATTGATTTTGATAGCTGAGGTTTGGAGGAAAGAGCCAACTTTCACGCAAAATACCTGCGCCTTCCCGAGACCGGATTCTTTCCTGCAGCATCTTGAATTTGAAAGTTTGTTAGAAGTTAAATTTCATTCTGCATTCTAATCCACATATATTAGATTTTGCCGGTGTTAAATCAAGTAAATTTAGAACAGTCTCTTGCTAGCCAGTTTTTTTACAACGTTTTTTTTCATCTATTTGTAATATATTTATTTATCTCTCCTGAATAGTATCTGGAGCTGTATAGCAACAAACTTGTATGAGTAGCAATAAACAAGTATGTACAGCAACATGCTTGAAATTAGTTTATAAATAAACGTAATTAATACGAGTGACGGCATACAGGATTAGGGTTAATACAGTGGAGCCCCAGAAATCGATTTGTTCGGAAGTCGACCCAAAATAGAAGCCCATAATTCGACGTGACGCATGCAACTTCTATGAACGACGCCCACCCCCTGGTATATGATTTACGAACCGACTTATGGGATTTTTATGAAGGACGCTCCATTACTATGTTCATCCTAAAAAAGCACCAGAAGAATCTCAATGAACTACACGTTCAATACGGATTAATTTGTCTTCCAGTTATTTCTTTCAGGAGAAATTGGTTCGGAAAGTGATCGTTTCAGAAGTCGATACTCGTAGATGAACGGCATAATGTCGATTGCCGCTTTACTCTCTAACATCATATTGGTTTCAAAGCCAGCGCACCATAGTATATTGATTTTATTCATAAAATTTAATTTAATTCCGTCAAAGAATATATTTTCCTTGGTTTTGTGTCGGTGATGCGACCAATTGTTTGCATAATAAACTTACGAGCAAGTAAGAAAACAATTCAAGAGTAAACATCTGGCTCTACTCGTACTTCACATATTTAGATTGCAGCATGTCGGACTTAAACCAACCCATAACAATAAAAATATATAATGACAGCACCTGTTCCTGTAGTAGGTCCTCGTTATAGCTAATTCCAGTGTTCAGGGTAGAAACATCTTCCGCAAAGAATGTTCCAAATATTCGCTACCAGAATTTCGCAATAATCGCTACCAGAATTTCGCAACTAATCGCTACCAGAATTTCGCGACTAAACGCTATCAGAATTTCGCGACTAATCGCTATCAGAATTTAGCAACTAAATACTGCCAGAATTTCGCAACTAATCGCTATCAGAATTTCGCGACTAATCGCTATCAGAATTTAGCAACTAAATACTGCCAGAATTTCGCAACTAATCGCTATCAGAATTTTGCAACTAAACGCTACCAGAATTTTTGCAACTAATCGCTCATTAAATCATTAAAACCTTGTGTTGAGTGTTGGGAAAACTTACAAACTTCACTCTTCCTGCACTCAGTCAGGGGGAGGGTATTTTTTGTTGAAGTCCGTCACTATTTACACAAGCAATGGTCTAGTGGACTTGGAAATTAAGCCTCTTCTGGAGGCTGATGAACGAAAAAAATGCAATAAACTTGTCAGTGTTGCTTCTTAATGTTTCTTTCTTCTAAATTTTTTACCTGTAACGAATTCAGCCCAACACCGATTGTCATCAGGTAAATTACTTAGGATGTTATGATGCGATTTGATAAAATTAATATTTATCTCTGCAGGCTCCCACCATAATAAAGCTCCATAGGAGACTTACATCGATTCCAAACTTTTGAAACTTTTCTCATAGACTTGCCGCCACGGCAGGAAATCTGTACGAATTATCCATGACATACGATTTTTGGAAATCAAACCAGGAGAAGCACATTTAAAAAAAAAACACATTTTAATGATTTAACCTATGAACAAAATTATAAATATTATCTGGACGAATAAAAATGACCTAATAGCTGGTTTGCTTGCCACAGCAGGTGGCTTTCAATGTCTTTGACCAACTGATTTAGGAACCTAAAAAGTGGAATACTTTTGTCTGCAATACTAATTTTCTGGAAAGCTTACCATAAACATTATAATGAAGAATGCTATTCTGAAGAGACGGTGACTACAAATTCTGTTATACGTTGCAACCAAATAAGATGTTTCCGTGCTACGTCTTCTGCGTAGCGGCCTGAGTGCTGAACTTATTTTCGCTTGTCTAAATAAGATTTCCTTTGCGCATCCAAGGCAGGATTTGCCCGTGGGGATGATCTGGCGCTCCTGTTGACAGGCCAGAATTTGGAGCAAAAATTTGGAGCTAAGTAGCAAAATTGGAGCAAATCAGAAATTGGAGCAAAAATTTGGAGCAAATTAGCAAATTTGGAGCAAATCAGAATTTGGAGCAAAAATTTGGAGCAAAATAGCAAAATTGGAGCAAATCAGAAATTGGAGCAAAAATTTGGAGCTAAGTAGCAAAATTGGAGCAAATCAGAAATTGGAGCAAAAATTTGGAGCAAATTAGCTAAATTGGAGCAAATCAGAATTGGGAGCAAAAATTTGGAGCAAATTAGCACAATTGGAGCAAATTAGAATTTGGAGCAAAAATCCTGATTGCCGAAGTCGATGCCTCGGTGCCCGCGTGTCAGGCGGGGACACATCGATCGCGACTGCCTGGCGTCAGTGGCTGCCGCTGCCCGCTGCTATGTTGAGCTGACTTGCGTCTCTGCCATGACCTGTCGGTCGTCTCTGCCATGACCTGTCAGCCGTCTCTGTTCTTAGCTGTCAGCCGTCTCTGTCATGACCTGTCAGCCGTCTCTGCCATGAGCTGTCAGCCGTCTCTGCCATGAGCTGTCAGCCGTCTCTGCCATGAGCTGTCAGCCGTCTCTGCCATGAGCTGTCAGCCGTCTCTGCCTTAACCTGGCAGCCGTCTCTGCCATGACCTGTCAGCCGTCTCTGCCTGAAAGACGTGACATCCAATACGTCAGAAAGACGTGACATTATAACAAACATCTGTACAATATCAACGTAAACCAAGCACCTGACCTATACGGCTATACGGCCCACATTTGCTCGGGTTTATTCCGTCATGGAACGACTTCGTGCTGACCAGCAGCGTAATTCTACATGCCGATTAAATTGAAATTATTATATGGAATAATTGCTCGCCATCGTCAGTAGAAGGCCATTATATCATGATAGCTTTACCCAAAAATATCTTTTAGGTACGGCATAACTATAACGAATCTTCCGTAATTTTTTCATTACTTCAGTAGAAGGCCATCAAATCATGGCAGCTTTCCCCAAAAATATCTTTCAGGTACGGCATAACTATAATGAATCTTCCGTAATTTTTTCATTATAATTGCACATACAATACAGTATAAGATACAATACAATAGCAGTATTGGACGCTCGCTGATGTGAAGGGAGGCTGTTTGTTACAGTGGTGGCCAGTGCTTGGCGAATTTTTCACATTATTCCTAACAATATTCCAGCCTGATGGAATTCCTCCCCGTTTGGCATTAGTGGTAGTAAAAATATTAAAAAAATAATTTTGTATAAAAATATATTAGAAATTCGATGCACACCATCATAGAATATCTTCTTTCGAGTTCAAACGCATTTCTTCAGCATCTCTCTTAGTAAATACCGAGTCTTCAACTCCCCTGCTGCAGTCTGCAAAATTTCTCTGCAGCGGCGCGGCTCTGAAAGGCCGTCATTTTTTGCGGTCATCACTGCATTGCCACTTCATTTTTTGCATTTATTTAGAGCGCATATTTTTCTACTAAAGTGAACCTTCACTTGGCAAGAGCTCATAGTTGAACTTCTTTGTATTCAGTAACAATTTTCTGTAGAGCCACAGACGCAAGGAACTAACATAGAAAAACATTACTTGCACGCTCTACTGCATATGGTGAACATAGCAGTAGTGAATTAAACATAACTTCATCGTAGCAGTAGTGAATTGAACATAACTTCAGCGTAGCAGTTGTGAATGAAATATAACTTCAGCATAGCAGTTGTGAATTAAACATAACTTCAGCATAGCAGTGGTGAATTGAACATAACTTCAGCATAGCAGTAGTGAATTAAATATAACTTCAGCGTAGCAGTGGTGAATTGAACATAACTTCAGCATAGCAGTGGTGAATTAAATATAACTTCAGCATAGCAGTGGTGAATTAAATATAACTTCAGCATAGCAGTGGTGAATTAAACATAACTTCAGCGTAGCAGTAGTGAATTGAACATAACTTCATCGTAGCAGTAGTGAATTGAACATAACTTCAGCATAGCAGTTGTGAATTAAATATAACTTCAGCATAGCAGTTGTGAATTAAATATAACTTCAGCATAGCAGTTGTGAATTAAATTTAACATCAAGATACCAGTGATGAACTAAACATAATTTTGACGTAACAGTGGTTAATTAAATGTAACATTGATATAACAGCGGGTAATTAAATAAAACAGTGATATAACACTGGCTAATTAAATGTAACATTGACATAACAGTGAGTAATTAAATATAACTTTGACATTGATATAACGCTGGCTGGTTCGATAAGTCGAATGTTCGCCAGGGCATTCCGTTCACTAAATGCACGAATGTCACCGTCGTTACAAGCGCCGCACAATGACATGCTGGGCAGCGCAGCCATCGTTGACATGGCGATGTACGTCGCACACCAAACAAATTGTTTGCATTCATCACATCGGCTTCGATTACTGAGCTCCATATCTAAAACTATTCTCATCGTCCGGAAACGTTGGAATGATTTTCTTCCTTTAGCCGCTGAGCTTTCTCGTCTATGCTTTTTCCATGCTCGAAGGTAGTTACATTCTAGCCTAAAACTGACAAGACAATGCATTAGTCATTTGAGAGCTGACTTTATGCTCACTCCAGCAAAATTCCGAAGTTATTCTTATCGACACTACTTTGTTAATTACATCGTTGACTTTTTTGCCATTTCTTAAATATAATTGATCGTATGCAGAATGATCTTGCTAGATCTAAATATTTCGACTGAACATCGCGCTTGCGCCGGCGAATACAGCAACTTGGTGCGACTGCCGACTCTCTGCTCGGTTTATTAGCGCATTTCCTCATTTATGTAAAAAATGCACTATTGTGCCCGCCATGTCCGTCTGTCTGTCTGTCCGTCCGTCTGTCCGTGATCTCAAGTTTTCGTCGACGAGAAAATGCGCTCTCTGTCACTCACTGCTGTGAGTACTGAGTTATATTTTTTGAACGAATGCCTGGCAATCATCGAACGGAGCCACTTGAGATGGAGAGCTGGAGTTGCGCTGAGGGACTGCAGTCAAAGGAGGGAGCTTGAGGTGCATCAGCGATAGGAGCAACTGGGGCACAGCTGGGGCACAACTGGGGCACAGCTGGGGCAGGGCACGGCAGAGCTGTAGGAAGCTGAGACACAGAAGTTCTGGGAGGCAGCTGCGGCGAAGCAGTGCTGAGATACAGCTTATAGATACGTGGGCTGGGAGGCAGCTGCGGCGAAGCAGTGCTGAGATACAGCTTGGATACGTGTGCTGGGAGGCAGATAGGGCGAAGCAGTGCTGAGATACAGCTTGGATAGACGTGCTAGGAGGCAGCTGGGGCGAAGCAGTGCTGAGATACAGCTTGGGTACATGGGCTAGGAGGTAGCTGGGGCGAAGCAGTGCTGAGATACAGCTTGGATACATGGGTTAGGAGGTAGCTGGGGCGAATCAGTGCTGAGATACAGCTTGGATACATGGGTTAGGAGGTAGCTGGGGCGAATCAGTGCTGAGATACAGCTTGGAGACATGGGCTAGGAGGTAGCTGGGGGCGAATCAGTGCTGAGAGGTAGCTGGGACACGTGGGTTAAGGCACCCCGTCTCCTCAGGCGGGGCTATTGATCGCGGCGTCGGGCGTTGGTTGGCCGCGACCACTTCGTTGTTCTGCACTCCACAGACCGACGCTCTGTTTGCTCTCTTGAGTTATAACTTATAGCAATTTTTTATGTCCTAATGTGCAGGTTTGACTTCCTGTCAGGTTAGCTCTCTTTCTCTTAGTATCATGTATACAGTCATTCCTGTCGACGACTTTTTCTCGTGCATTTGTTTGTTTACTTCATGTCATTCTTTGCCGCACAATAGACCGCATATCTTCTTATTGCATGTCCGTAATATTAATGCATTTTGTGCTCGCTTTTTATTTCAGGAGAAGAAACTCCACGTAAGCTGCAGCTCAGCGTGGATCTCACTAAATAAATTTGTCTCTTGTCAGAAGTCTCCTCCCAAAGGCATTCCTGGTGCGGAGGTCGTTCTCCAACGAAATTATTTAGATAATCGACGAGGTGGAATTAAATTGGCGGGTGGAAATATAGGGAAATCATTCCCTCTCCCCGGGGATCATTCAAGGAATTTCAAAATATTCATCGATTGGAGAAACTTCACAATTAAGTTTCTTCTATAAATTACCGCAGCGTATATGCTCTTCTTTTCGTGCAAACTGTACATATTGTCTAGGGCTTGTGTGCATTTATATATGTTCCATTAAGTCATCTCCGATTGCTTGTACATTATTATTTTTTAATTTCGAATGTTGATCTTGTAACTCAAGTTTTTATTTATTATTCGCATCTCAAACTCGGAGGAGTGAAAAATACATCGAATTAACACGACAAAAATGTTTGCAGACCATGTCACTCTGTGAGTCCCATAAGTTACGCCATATTTCAGATGCGCCAGATGTCCATATTTCAACAGATGACTGATAGATTGCTAGTATGATTTACGATTTATGCAGAGGTGGGCAGTAGCGCGCTACATTTTCAGTAGCGGTAGCGGCGCTACATTTAAGCAATTGTAGCGGTAGCGGTAGCGCCCGCTACATATTTGAGTAGCGATACGAGGTTTTGCCGCTACTGCGGTACTGCTACATTTATAGATAAAGCCTTTACATTTTACTTAATATAGTAGTATTAAATATTATTTAAAAACCAGCATGATACATACATAATATAAATTACAGAATAAAACTGTACGGAAGATTTCGGAGTAATGTTGTCAACCTCAGCCTGTTACTAGTGTCAACATGTTAGTTGTTCTTGTTAAGTTGTTACCAGTTACCACTTGTTCTTGTTCCATGCCAGCTGCCACCACATGTCCACGACCACATCACGGACATCAGCCACCTAACTTCAGTTTGCTTACAGTTATTTTTACACAGTTATTTTTATGTTTCACCTTCCCTACATGGATGTCTACTTTAATCTACCAATCTCAAAAATTATCCACATATATATACAAATAAAGGACTAATTTTTTTATATGTTTATATTTAGGGAAGAGCCCTTCATTTAAACATGTTTGGTTAAAAATAATGCCAGTTTTATTGAGAACATCTTTTGAGTTTAATCTCTCAAGCTTTCTGATAAGAGGTACAGTAACAGGGTCAATAAGTCTTAAAATTTGTCCAAATGGAAGGTTAGGTAAATCCTGCGACGCGTTTCGCTCATCACTCTCTCTGCAGCCAACCCGCAAGCAACTCGTCTACTCAGCTGCTCGACCTCGTTGCCTGAAGATGCTCAGTGATGAGCGAAACGCGTCGCAGGATTTACCTAACCATCCATTTGGACAAATTTTAAGACTTATTGACCCTGTTACTGTTCCTCTTATCAGAAAGCTTGAGAGATTAAACTCAAAAGATGTTCTCAATAAAACTGGCATTATTTTTAACCAAACATGTTTATATGTTTATGTGGATAATTTTTGAGATTGGTAGATTAAAGTAGACATCCATGTAGGGAAGGTAAAACATAAAAATAACTAACTTTTATTTACTGTATCTAACCCGTACTATTGCGGTTAGGTTAATTGCAATAAAGTTGCATTGATATGTTTTGAAAATGTTTTATTATCATTAAATGTTTATGAGTAAATCCCAATACCAGAACAATAAATATTTAGAGATTTCCAATAATTTTGGCCATTGTAGCGGCTAATGTGGCGGCGCTACATTTTACTGTAGCGGTAGCGGTAGCACCCGATACAATCTAGTGGGTGTAGCGGTAGCGGTAGCGCCCGCTACATTTAGAGCATGTAGCGGTAGCGGTAGCGGCCGCTACATTTCAAAGTAGCGCGGCCCAGCTCTGGATTTATGTTTTATAAAACTTCATAGACATCATTTGTTGATTTGATTTATGTTTCATACTATTGATAGTCAGCGCATTGCCTCAAAATTTCTCACTCTTTTATCTTAAAACTTTTCAACAGAACTTACGAGTGATGTTTTATCCTAAAACTTTTCAATGGTTGTACTTACGAGTGACGTTTTTGCAGATGGAGGAGCGCGCGACCGGTGAGAGCAACAAGGACAAGAAGTACGTTCTCTACACGGTGGTGGGCGACGACAGGCCACGTGCCTCTCCTGCCGCCCTTTTAACTCGAGTATTGTTGTCATGCCTTCTGGTGGTGGCACTGGCCGTGGTGCCCTACGTGTCCCTGCGCCTCGCACAAGCTAACAGCCGTACGCTAGTCGTCTTCCAGCCTGTGCCTATCCACAACAGGAGCGCAGTCCACCGCTTGCAGTCCTCACCCACCAAAGAGGTTCAACTCATGCAGGTAGCCGACCTGAAGCTTGAAAATGCCACACTAGCTTCTGAAAACGACACTTCTGCGTCCACGGAGTTTACTAAATTTCCAATAGTAGTTACTAATGCGACGATAGTCGCTTTCCTCCAGCAGAACTCAACCACCTCTGCATCGACTAACTCGACTTCTCTGGAAATGAACGGCACTGGGCAAGCTGACGAATTAAATTTTACGTCTCCTATTCCCGAAACAACCCTTGGAGAACTGCTGACCACGCTCGTGTCGTCAACTGAAACGACAGAAACGTTGACAAAGGTAAGCCAGGACCTTTTTGATGAATGCGAAAATGATTCCATCTCAACTTCGCCATCCTCGTCAACCGCGTCCTCAGCTGCAACAACGGAGGTTGCGGAGAATACAACTTCAATCGCTCTTTCATCTACCCATCAAGAAAAATCTTCAACCATATACACTCTGCCCCCATCAACTGTAAGCACCGAGTCTTCAGCAGGCATTACTGTCACTGTTGCAACCAACATCAGTGAGGGAAGTGAGCCTATCAAAACGTCGACTGTAATGAGTAAACTTCTACGTGACGATGAAGCGCTACATCAGAAGTTAGCTTACGTGGCCTCTTCGGCATCTGGAAATCACGTGGGGGGCATTTGTGTTTTCAAAGTCGGTAACAACGTTACTGACTGGTCATATTTCTACGAAAATATCCCTATTGAGCTTCAGAGTGATCACGCTAATGGTGATCACGAGCTGCGCGCCACTCTCGCCGCCATACGTGCCTGGTCCTCGCGCTGGCATGATGCCCACGTGGTCATACGGTCACCACACTCTGCCATCAAGGAATCAGAGCTGCCCCTTCGTCAGCGCATCATGGATGATATCGAATCTCGATCAGCAGGAGTTTTTACCTACGAATTGGAATGGAGGCTCGCACAAAGTGACGCTCTTGTCAAAATCTCCAGCAGCCTTGCCCATCTCCACCAGGACTATAAATTCTGGTTCCAGGACTTTCAGAATCGCGTTAACGATATGCTTGGAGTACAGCAATGGGACATCGTATCCATCGAAAAGCATATCAAAATACCGCAAAAAGCCTTCTTTGATGACGAAAACTTAGATACCGACTCTAAACCAAACATAGTGCCTTCAAAAATTAGTAATGCCACAGTAACTGAAATTTCGGAAGCGTCCGGATCGCCTACTCGTCATCCATTATCCCACAAACTCGTCTACATGGCAACTGCGGCATCTGGTAACCATGTTGGTGGATTCTGTGTATGGAAATATGATAAGAACGTGACAGACTGGTCGTATTTTTACGATAACGTGCCCGTCGAGCTTCAAAGTAGCCACGATTCAGAGGATCACGAGGTGCGAGCAGCGCTCGCCGGTGTGCGCGTATGGGCAGATCGTTGGACCGATGCCCACGTCAGTCTTCGTTCTCAAAGGTCGCCCCTTCTGCGCTCGCACACCGCCACTTTCTTCTTGCAAACTTTGGATGCTCGCTCGACTTCGCAATTCTCATATGACTTGGAGTGGCAGCTGCGTAAATCGGAAGATCTGATGCGTGTAGCGTATAGTCTTTCTCGTCTCTACCGCAACTTTGGTCATTGGTTCACTGCTTTCAAAGTGAGCGTCGATGCTGTCGTCGGTCCTCAAGATTGGAATATTGCTGCCAAAGCCAAAAGAGTTCATCTCAATGATGAACATTTCTTTGTAGATCCTGTTTTTCCTGAGGCCCAACCTTCAGAGATGACCAAAATCGAGTAGTATATTCATTCTGTGAAACTGCAAAATATGATCTCATGGTCGTTTTTTCGGTCCAGATTGAATGTTCTAAGCATTTATTGATATGCTCTTGGTGCTGACTCCAGAGCAATGTTAATTGTGATGTCATATTCTGCAAGAGCGATATGCATGTTTGGAAAGCATTGGATATGTTTCATTATGTGTTCATAAAGCTAATAAAGCTAAGGCTAATAATGGCTTAGAGTCTAGAATTCTGCACAAGTTTATGCATCAGTCGCAAAACTTTAACAACTTTTTACTTTCCGCTTCGGGAAGAGAAGGTTCTGACCCATTCGATGACATTTATACAGCAAAATTGGACCCCAGTGATTATTATTAGAAGTCCTGTCAAACATCGCTACTGGCAGCACTAACAAATATCGGATCTCACTTTATTAAGGGTATTGCAAGATATCGATGGTATCGATATGCTTTAAGTAGGAAGTGTAATTGTAGCGCTAGAAGTGCACTTAAAAATTTACGTCCAATAATTCTAATTTACCCGGACACATGAGATCGTTACATACTGTGATGTGGGTTGCTATTATTTAATCGTTATTATTACCGCCTTTAATTTTACAATGAATGTGGAGAGGCCATCGTGTTCTCAATTGTCCGAGGAGTCTGGGATTATACATATGTAATTGTGTACGCTGCTCGTAAATCAAATTTCGTCTGGTAAAAAGTTATGTCTGTTAAAATTAATAAGAATGATGTTTCTGGTGATGTTCCACAAAAATTACAACTTACCAGTATTGATATTGTATAAGGCACGTAACAACATGCAATTATGTAGAAAAATGTATGAAGTATTAGCTGTATGATTTGTATGATTTTGTGTTAATGTGTTGAAGATTCAGAGAGGCTGGTGTGCTGATCCTGTTCAGGTGTTTGAGTCTCGCCTTCATCGTAGCTCATTCTAATTTCGTGTTTGCTACAATATAATTTTTTAATCTTGGATGTATGGGACAATTCAAGTTCTTGCAAATAAGTGGAAGCATCAAAACGGCTTTGGAATGCTCTGCTGCTCTATAACTTTGTGCCTCCTTATAGGTTATCTAGTAATTCACTTATCCCTGATTCAAATTAAAAATACCTCGTCTGTGTTCTTAAGAATGCGTGTGTTTCATGTTTTCGACGTGAAACTAGTGTCGTTTATGTGTTTTAAATTTGAATTATAAAGTAGAATTTAAAATTCTACATTTTACTGAAATTCTAATGGGGCTTCTTGCCGTCAGTAGGGTAAATATTTCACTATTTCACCGAAACTTACGTTGAAAAAAAAAACTTCTGAGGAAGCTCGTTCCTCATTTTGAGCTAGACGCCGTCGTGTGCGTAGCTCATCTGAAACGCTGAGCTGGTGTAGTCGGTATTGCAAATTAACATTCAACATGCACAATATTTGGACAAAATATAGGACATCTTTTTAATTTAGAGTCTTCGTCCTTTACAGGCTTAAATTTCTCGGTATAATTCACCTTGATAAGATACTCGATTACTCTATACCTGCTTTACTCGACAAGTACGAAGAGCGACCGGAAAAGGGAACTACAAGTGTGGTGGGCGAAGTTTAGGTAGTACCACATTCTCCGTGTATGTGCATATGCTCCTGACATTCATCAGCTAGTGTGCCAAGCATTGCTCCCCTATAAGGCCGCATACCATAATCACAAATTTATTGGTGATTCTTCTTTTGCGCGCTTGTCGTTTTTGGATGGAATAGAATAGAAGTGTCGGCCCATGGCCTGTTGTTGAAATAGGCCCATGGCCTGTTGCCGAATAGGCCCATGGCCTGTTGTGACACCATCCTGTTGCCGGATGGTGTCTGATTTTTGTGAGCAACGAGCTGCCATCAAATTTTTCTTTCTTCTTTGGAAGACTGGGAACGAAATGCTATATATAGCCTTCAGTGGTTATGCTATTGGGAGAACGAAAGTGTTTGAGTAGCTTTGCCGCTTCAAAAAAGGATAAATGTCAATTGACCACCTACCTCGCTTAGTGGCCTAATCCTTGAAGATTGACGTATAAGTATTAACGAACATGCGGAACTGTCGCAAGTAACTTGGAGTTCACTCCAGCAAATTGAAAAAAAAAATCAGTTCGCTGTTTTTGATACTCCCTCCTACTCTGACAACGATCAAGCATGTACTATGTTGACGATAATCATACATGTATGTCAACGACGGTCGAACTTGCATGTTGACGGTTTCCGAGTCTTTATTAGGGGAAATTATAGTGAAATGACACGTTTGGTAGTTGTTTGCGTACAAAAAATCTCGAATTGTTCTCTCGATATGTGAGCACGTTTTCTAGTCCAGAGGTGCGGAAGACTGTTGGGTAAATATCTTTCTTTATTTTGTTGGGTGATGGTAACTCAGAATGTTCGAGAAATAATGAACTCCTTAAATTCACGATTTCTTTCAGCGAGTTAATTCGTATGAGGTCTTTAGTAAATAAGTGATTTAATTTGTTGAAAATAATTTTCAACAATGCGTCTTGTTGTGTAAAAATGTGTCTTCATTCTGATCCGTGATTGACTGCCTTCGATTGGCTGGCTGTTGCTTGTAGTTGTAAGACAGACGTAGGCATTACTATCAGTCGTTTGTAGGCGCTCGTCGTTATACCTACTGTAAATGAACAAAAAAGCCAGGCTTCTCTTTTGTGTACGTCGTGTACACCTATGTGAGTTTATTCTTAAGAATATAAGCAATATTAACCAAAGAATTGATGAGTACGATACTCGTGTTGCTTGTAGTGTTGTGAACTCGGTATGTTCGTCGAATTTCTTTGGGCAGAGACGGCGTCGATCGATCAACGCGTGCTCGGAATGCTCCTCTGGGTGTGATAGATTCGTTCGTTCAGCTTCTCCCATTTAGGGTTTTAAACATTGATAACAAAGCAATATAACTATTACCAAATAAACTGTTACAATCTACGTATATTACTTCAATCTCGTGTGACCGTACCCGATAAAATGAGAGTGGCCATCATGCCATGCAGGGCAATTTCACTGTATCTACCCATTGTAATTCTGAGTCTATGCAGAGCCCTGAGACGCGGTGAACTTTATAGGCTGAGCCGGCACTGTCAAAGCTAAGCTCAGCCAAATGGTGAATCTTTATCCAAAGAACGATGTACTTTTGGAGCTTGTGGGGTATATCCTGACTTTTTTTGGTAGGAAGAAGTGGGTATCAGTGCTACGTTCACGGTTCATGTAGCAGTGATTTCAAAATTCAACTAAATGTATCTCAATTCTAATTGCGATCAATAGGACTATTAGAAATAGCATGAGAATGAGGCAAATTTAAACTCGGTCCATAATATTTGTTGATCTCATCACTTTCACGACTTAGAATACAAACACCTGCTGTCATTTCCGTTCAATTGATTTTCTTAATACTTGTATATTAACGAACGGTGTGTTGGAAGGGCAGCCACTAAATGGGCTCTTGGGCAACCAGAATAATTATCATCTCATTAATTCAGTCACTTAGCTGAGCATTTTTGGAAATCTCACGCATCCAATGGGAATTTTTGGTTAAAGTCAATTTTTACTGCGGTCTTAGCCGCCTTGAATTTTGGGTGTAAACATTCGCTGACTTACATTATAAATACGTTAAGTTATTCCTTCATTATTGTAAAATATTTGTCGACAGAAGTCTTTCATTGTTATGCACCGAAGTGCAGGTTTAAATTTTATGACTATATTTATGATATATTTCTTTAATATGGTAGCACAATTTCTTTATGCATTTGAATTACGGCAAACCTAATCAACCCAGAAACATGTCACTGAGATCTGTACCCGGCTTACGACTGACTATATAACTTTATAGCCATTGTTTCAGCATTGTAGACAGTCAATTACGTCTCTGATTAGTAAGGCTGCGATGGCTCTGTTTGATGATCACTTTACGATACAACTATGTATCGAATATGTTACTAGCAGTTCGCTGTATCATATTTGCGATTAAAACTTATGAGGGCGTAAGCCTCAGAAAATCAGAATTTCGATCACGCCTCTATCCCTAACTGTAGTAAAATTTGTAGACTTGGAAAATTTGTCACGTTTCTGATACTAGTTTATTATTCGAAATGCCGGATTTCTTCTCATAGAATTTGTTGCCAAGTCCCGAGACAATGCGACCACACGCAATATAATTATTCTACTAGAGACGCTCCCACAAGCCATTCCTATTGCAGGCTTCATAGCTTCGTGAATTTTTCTCTTCTCCTACAGTGACTCGTGAGACTAGCTCCTCGAGTGCACTTCCTTCTTATCTCAGCAGTGTAGGCACCAGGGCCCATACTTTCAAATAAAGTTAAGAGATCGTAAGTTCATCAGCCAATCATTGCCGGCATTTCAAGCAAAATCCACCAATCGCAGATAAAAAAAACATAGAGCGTAAGTACTTACGTTCACTTAGTGAATTTTGAAAGTATGGCACCAGCAATGTAGCCTCTACGCCTCTAGTCACGCACATCATCTTCTTTTCTCTACGTACTAATTACTTCACTCCTAGATTCTTTCTCAATAAACATTTCGTTAAGTGTTCATGAGCGTTTGATTTCCCCATCATAAGTAAATGTGTACGAAGTTTCTGCAAGAATGTGCGAAATTTTTTGCGGGTTTATTATTAGCATAAGAGATTATTTTTACTATCTTGTGACGTAATCAACTCTCTGACGTCACAAGCGACGATAAATTCTGTTGGGCCCGCGCCATGCATGAATCATGAACTGTTGTCCGGAGTTTCGTCATTGCGAGCGTGCTCTGCTTGCCTAATTGTTGCTAACACAAAATAGAGACCGTGCGTTTTCAACTCCGCTCTAAATAATTAATAAAAGTATTTTATTTATCGTATTACGTGCTGATGCTGCCTAAATACACACTAGAACTGTTTACAAATTCTATCGTCTTCGTTGCTGCTTTCGAGCTCAAGAACTGTGATGAGTCAGCGCGTGTACGTCATCTTGGTTTCCGGAGCGAAACGTCGGGCTAGTCTTCCGCCAATGCTTCCTGTAAGGTGTAAGCAATAAATACTTATCGGCATTGTAGATTACGCGCTTATCGCTTAACAAGGCCGGAACATAAAAGCGTACTTTTGAGGCTCGTGAAGCATATAGAAGCTTCGTAGAGCGAACATTCAGCGTTCTCATCGATGCCACACACGCACGCCGCCTAGAAGCATCTTATGTAAATTTAGAAATTCAGATTACGAAAAAGCACCTAATTTAAACTTGAGTTACCATTACTGTATATTCTTGACTGGTAATTAACGCAAGCAAATTTTTGCTGTATGCGTCATGGCGTTGGCAGTAGATCCAAAAATATAACTCAGTACTCACTGCAGTGAGTGACAGAGAGCGCATTTTCTCGTCGACGAAAACTTGAGGTCACAGACAGACAGACAGACGGACGGACGGACATGGCAAGCACAATAGTGCATTTTTTCCATAAATGAGAAAATGCGCCAAAAACAACGACCAGACCCTGGGACTGACAGCTGCTGGAGCAATGCGTGGTCATCCCACCTCACGAGCTTGGGAACAATCTGTTGTTATCACCACGAAGAATTTGTTACGTAATGCGTGTACATGCCCTTCTTACGAGACAAATCGGAATGAACTCCAGTAAACTCATTGGCGTGCCACAAGGCCTGTTCTTGGGCCTGTTTCATTCGTTTGCTTTAATAGAATATCTGCCACAAATAGAGCCATTATACTATACTATAATAAAGTAGCATCACTATGCTATACTATAATAAAGTAGTGCCGTTATACTATACTATAATAAAGACTTAAAGTAGTATCACTATACTATTCTGTAATAAAATAGTGCCACTACTATACTATAGTAAATCGCAGTACATATAGTACCACTATACTATAATAGAGTCGTGCCGCTGTAGTGACTATATTAAACTATAATAAACAGTAAAGCACAGATCATATCGCGAGTTTTGATGATGCTGCTTTTCAAATGTAAATGGTGAGTACAAGTGAAAAATGAATATTAATATTACTAGAGTCATACATTGGTCTCATTTTACACATTATGCATCGTTCCCCTGATTCAGTTCACTACACTTGTTGCTCACGGATGCGCCTAACCGAGCTGTCTGTCCCTATCTAATCTCTCATCGACTGGGCATGAGATGCAACACTCGTTCTTTTTAAGTAAGCTCTGACGCATTCCTGTTTTATGCACGTGCGACTGCTGCATTTACAGTTCAATGCAAACACACAGAACTTTTAGCTTTTGAATAATTCTCAAGAATAAATATGCACTCCATTTCCCATGGAACCATCGTCAAGTGCAGCTTTCATTACTAATTTTCCTCATGTTGTCACGCAAGGTAATTATACTTCAAAGGTATTTAGCACACATGTTGATCATCTTAAATATATTAACGTTGAACTAAGTTAATTTAGGTTTCAGTCAAATTTAACGTGAAGGCTAACATTAGTACAAGGAAGTCCAACAGCGCAACGAGTAAATAGCATTTGTTAAATAGTAAATAGTATTTCGAAATTCCGAAATAGTATTTCGGAATTTTGTAGCACAGTGCGTCTATGTCGAGAATAATAAGCCTAACTCACCCAAATCATGTTTTAAAGCATAATTTTTAGAGAAAGAACTTGCAATAGCGCTCCAACATGACAACACAGAACTCGATAGACTCACGTCTCACCTCTCTGCTTTGATGCCAGTCATCCGACAGGTTCTAGCTACAGTGTCCTTACTGCTTATT